TTTTTTTTTTTGGAATAAGTGAATATCGCTGTAGCTGTCTCTTATACACATCTAGATGTGTATAAGAGACACCTATATCTGACTCTTTTAGTTTTAGGACTTACAAACAACCGTTATGTGAACAAACTATAATACTCTCTTTAGCAACTTTGTTGCGAGAGTATAAAAACATTTGTTTATATGTACCATATTGACATAAAATAATATGTTATATATCGTCAATTTCTTTTGCAGATAAAGCGACAAATATACAACGCAAATGGACTACAGTTGCCGTAGTAATATCGATTGCATCTTTAACACTGAGCAGTTAGTTTGATAGAACATTTTTGTTCACTTAGAATACTTTTGTTTAGATTTTAATGAAAACTGAATTTTGCGGTATTTTCAAAAGTGCTTATTTTGTAAATGCATGTAAATGTCATAACAAGAAAAATTAAAAATCATATTCATATTTTTATGTATAAGTACAGACATGTACTGAACATTAATAAATACGAAAACAAAAAACATAGTTTAGATCAAATGGACGAGTTTTATTCATTAAATAGTATCACCTACAAAACTTTTAGGATTCATAAACTTAATAAATTAACTAATACGAATTTTTTAATTTTCAAAACGAACTAAACATGTCGATATTTTCTTATATTTAAACCTAGAACAGAGAAGATATGTGTGTGGTAGATATTAAGTTTGCCGAACTAATCGCATCACATACATATAATATATAGCTGCTATAGAAATCGGTTCATTGTCAAATTAATTATAAATATAATAAATTAGGTAAAGAGGTTCTACAAACGAAAATTAAAAAAAACCACACAATGATTTTGGATGACCGGGAACCGAAGTTAATCAATATTTCTAATATTGCTAAAAATATCAAAAGCAAAAATTTGGTTATGCGAAAGCTCTCGCGCTTACCAGCCTCAACAACTTCATGTTTAATTTCGCCAAAAAATACAAAAATTTAAAACGAAATGAACTTTTCAGATTACCTTTTGTTGTGTTGATCTGTCGGTTAATTAGAAGACCATAATGGCATCGATAATGCATTAAGTGTATGACTTCCGACCGATCCCGGCTTCGGCTGTATTGTACATTGAGAAGGAGCAGGTGTCTTATATACATTGATATAATTTAAGTATATACACAAAACTTAGATAGAGATTTTAATTTTGTAGACAGCTAGAGTGCCTCATTGCATTTTGATCTATGGGTTCAATGAGGAGAATAACTTTTAGTGGCATAAACATTGCGAAAATGTTCCCATCTTCTGCCAGTTCTGCTTAATATAGATGTGAAGGAGTGCTTACAATTAGAAAAAAATGCCTTTAATTGGCAAGTTTTTTCCCTTAAAAACGATTTCACTTTAGAACAAGAAATTTTAAAAAAGTTTTGACAAAATCCTCAAGGTACCTGCACCTGCAGAACGAATGGTTCGGGAAACCATTTTTTTAAAGCAGAGTGGATTATTTGACTTTCCGATTTCCAAGATTTTAAGTTTATGAGATTTAGTGAGCAACACAAAAACGTAATTCACCACTTTTCCGGCTTTACATCTGGACGCTGTTTTCAGAACTGCGGAAGTACAGCTGATTCCGAATGCCGCATATTTTTTTGAACTTTGGAAACTATCTATCAAGAGTGTAAAAACTAGCTACTTCATCAAAAATTGCAACTGAAATATTTCGCTTGTTTCATGCATYCATAAAAAACCGCGTCTTTTATTATTATTAGGGATTTCCCAAATTCTGAATTATTTCAGAGCGATGTAAAATAAATTCAAACATTGACAGCTTTACTGTTCAGATTTGAGAGCTTTCTTGACTTGTTTGCTTTATAATAGCCAAAGCCTAAAAGCAAAAGCAAAAAATATGTTCACGTTTCTGGAAATTCTCGTTTAAGAGTGTTCACGTTTTCGAGCGTGCGCTGCATGTACAAGTAATTGTATATACATTTTTAAATTTGGGAATTTATCCGAATCGTGAAATAAAAATTAGTATATTTTTTTTTATTAAATAAATTGTTAGCAGTAAAATAATTTCCAGTTATACCTAGCAATATTTCTCTATTTTCTTTTTGTTGTTGCTTCTCTTTTATTAAACTTTAAATATTTTGAAAAATATTGGCTGAATTTAATACTTATGTATTATTATCTTTAAAGGCAATTCTTGAATTTTGCAAAAAAGCTGAGAAATCAAGATCTTCTCTAATTCAAAAATTGTAATTCACAAAAACCAATAATTGTTCCAAGCATTAGATTAGAAATTAAATAAAAAAATTAAATATTATCCTCAAACAAAAAATATAAACGAAATAAATTCATAAACACATATTTGAGTTGACCAAACCAAGTTAATTGTATATGAATAATATGGCAACTCTATTATCAAATTCTGTTACTCAATTCAGTTGAGGAATTTTAGATGTCTTGCGACATGAGCAACAATCGGGGTTTTCTTACACTTCCAGCCGTCACTATGGAAGTTTGTTCTTTCTGCCTAAAAGTATGTAAGTAGACAGTTTTTAAGCTTCCAACGGATGGCACATTTATAGTAAAAGCGTTAACTAAAGTTTTATAAATTCAAAGTGACTTTCTCTTTGCTGAAAATAGTAAAATATTCATATGGGCTAACATAGTAAATGATCTAAAAACAAAGTTAGTATACTTGGTAGGAGTTATAGGCAAAACTGAAGGGTTTGGCAAAGTGCACAAGGCCAGGAGATGAAATGAACGTCTCCTCGTACCCGTTCAGTTTGTGCCTGGTGAAAGTAACTGAACCAACGACATCATTCAAATGGCTTCTGGAGATGCTATCAACTCCTTTGATCAGGATCTATCAACCACGTCCAATACTAAAACGGCAGACAATTCAAATTTTATTAAAGATGGTAATTTTTACATTTCAGCATTATGACTTTCACACATGCACCCTAGGGGTGCTTACGAAATACTTTTCAATGTACTTATGTATGCATTTTTATGGTTGTGAGTTACACACGGGCGTATGAATAGGAATTCGGTGATTTTAAGCAGAAATATCTAAAATCGCAAAACGAATATATTAATTTAGAGAATTTATTATCAGATATTATATATAAAGAAAGTGCGATAATCTAAAAGTAAGCGATAATGTACGACAGCAAATTTAATATCTAGGAATGGCATAAAAAATCAATGAGAGTTTTTGGTACCTTGAAACACATGAATACAATGAACAGGAAATTAAATAAAATTAAATAGTCAAGCCCATATCTATTTGTGGAAAATTCCCTTAATCAAGGTGAAGTTATTGTTGCAAATATTCATGTTGATGAAACTTCTGTTTTAATAATGACAAACTGGCTTACAAACTTTAAGTCAATAATCACACATTAATATGCATATATATGATCGTTGTGTTCACAACATTAAACACTGTATTAAAATACTTGAAAGCATTTAGAAAACTGTTTTATATTCGCAGATCAAAACATTCAATCTTCAAGTTCAGATGTAAGTACATATTGTTATCAAACAACTAACTAAAAATAAAGTTTTGAAATGTTGTTGTTCTAGATTAATCAGCACCGCCAATCTCGTTATGGAAACAAAGGAGATAAGGAGCGCAAGATTGGTCATCGGCGCGTTGGAGAAGGCGGGGAGATCACCTATAAAAAAATTCAAACTAGCCAGATAATGGGCTCCATCCAGTTGGGCATTCAACATACGGTAAACATTGCTTTGAATGGCGGGAATATTTGGCAACAAATATTTATTGAAACGTAGTTAAATGAAATATTTTGTTCAGGTCGGAAGCCTGGCATCTAAACCGAAACGTGATCTTCTAATGATGGACTTTTTCGAAATTGAAAGTATTACTTTCCCCCCAGAAGGATCAAGCCTTACGCCAGCCCACCACTACAGTGAATTCAGATATAAAATTTATGCGCCTATTGCATTTCGGTATTTTAGGGATTTGTTTGGAATACAACCGGATGATTTTATGGTGAGAAGGCTTATATTAATTTAGTTTTATAATTAAATTATGCACATATATTTAAGTCCTTTATTCCAAAATCGAAATTTATAGTCACTTCCTTTGGCATAATATTATTAATAAAAATATTTTAAATACCATTCCAAAAATTTAGATGTCCATGTGCTCAGCACCGTTGAGAGAGTTATCCAACCCTGGTGCTTCTGGTTCTATCTTTTATTTGACGGCTGATGATGAATTTATAATTAAAACTGTTCAACACAAAGAAGGAGAGTTTTTGCAAAAGCTTTTACCTGGGTAAGACCACTATAACATAAACACAGGTCTTTATACAAAGTCTTATCCTATTTATCTATACTATATATGCGATAGATACTACATGAATTTGAATCAAAATCCGCGTACATTGTTGCCAAAATTTTTTGGTCTTTACTGCCTACAGACAAGTACTAGTAAAAATATTCGATTGGTTGTTATGAACAATCTCTTGCCATCATCAGTTAAAATGCATTTGAAATATGATTTAAAGGGATCGACATTCAAGAGAAAAGCTTCAAAAGGGGAACGTTCAAAAAAATCGCCGACTTATAAAGATCTTGATTTTATGGAGCATCATCCAAATGGTTTGTTTCTAGAAGCCGAAACATACAGCGCACTCATAAAAACAATTCAACGCGACTGTACAGTGCTGGAATCGTTCAAGATAATGGATTATTCACTTTTAGTTGGAGTTCATAATTTGGATCAGGCAAGCAAAGAAAAGAAAAGTGAAAGTAAAAAATCAAAAGCTCCCATAGCAGAGGATTCCGATTTTGAAGACAATCCAGATGGGGATGGAGAAGCCGCTGGGGGATCGGAAGGTCGCGACAGGGAATCATCAGTGAGCATGAATCGCAATAAGTAAGTTCACCAAATAAACTTTATGCACACGTGGGATTACCTTTAATTAGGAAAGTTTTATGCATTTGAAAACTTTGTTGAATACGGAATACCTACTTTATTTTAGAAATCAGCGCTGCGACCTCTACAAAAATCTAAGCGGTTCGGGTCAGTGGTTCAAACCACTTAGAAAATACTTGTACCGGTTCAAGGACCGGCTTTTGGGAATCTCTAAATCGCAATTTGGTCCGGTTCAAATGATTTACTTTATTTTCTTAAAAGCCTTTATAATTTATAATTGCTAAATACAGATTCTATAGAGAGAATTTCATTTTTGTTAAGAAAATAGTTCATAAATTCTGCCGATTTCTAACTATGCTATTTCCTTGATTAATCAGTATTGAAATTTATTAAAAGAATGTCTTCTAATAATTCTTCGTCTTTACCAGCACTTAAGGCTGATAAATAATAAATTTCAAAGTTGAAAATTCTTTTTCGGTTGACACTTGAGTTACAGGAGCAGCTAGAACAATTTCAGCTAAACTCTTTAACAGTATCTCGGCGTTCGTTTGAAAGGCGTTTAATAATGCCAAAACAGTGAATAATGACTATGCTCGGGAGTCGCCTTGTCTGAAACCTCGTTTCGTATCGAACGGCTCGGAGAGACCCTTCCCAATTCTGACGGAGCTTTAGGTGTTGCTCAACGTCAGTTTACACAGCCGTATTAGTTTTGCGGAGATACCAAATTCAGACCTCGTGGCATGAAGGTAGCTCCTTTTGGTGCTGTCGAAAGCAGCTTTGAAATTGACGAAGAGGTGGTGTGTGTCGATTCTCCTTTCACTGGTCTTCTCCAAGATTTGGCGCATGGTGAATATCTGGCTGTTGATTTGCCAGGTCAAAAGCCACACTAATAAGGTCCAATCAGTTTGTTGACGGTGGACTTTAATCTTTCACACAATACGCTCGATAGAACCTTATATACGATGTTGAGAAGGCTTATCCCACGGTAGTTGGCGCAGATTGTGGGGTCTGCAATCGTTGGGCATGCTTTGGCCCGACCATATTTTACAAAGAAGCTGATGCATGCTCCTTATCAGTTCTTCGCCGCCGTGTTTGAATAGCTCGGCAGGCAATCCATCTTGGCATTAGCGTTCACAAAAAAAATGTAACAAGAACACTCTAGCGTTTTGCTGTATGCCTGTGTGTGCGCCGTCCCTTCTACGTGTAAGTATATTATATTTGATTGCCGCTTTGTTGTTCTTCAGGCCGGTAATTGCTATTCGAACTCCTTCATGGTCGGGCAATGGAACGTCTGCTCCATCGTCATCGATTAGGGAATCAGGTTCACCTTCTCCTGGCGTTGTGCGTTCATTGCCATTCAGCAGGCTGGAGAAGTGTTGCCTCCATAATTTAAGTATGCTCTGGGCATCGGTGACTAGATCACCTTTGGGGGTTCTACAAGAGTATGCTCCGTAATGCGTCTCGCTTCCCTCTTCAACTCTCGATATCTATCCCATCCCGCATGTGTTGTGATCGATTGTAACGTTGCGAGGTAGGCAGCCTGTTTTCTCTTCGCTGCGACACGGCACTCCTCGTCGCACCAACCAATGGTTTCGGTTGCAGCTGTACGTAAGAAGTTTGAAATGCCGTCCCACAATTCCCTTACACCGAGTTGTTGACGAGTGCTCTCAGAGAGCAGGAGTGCAAGTCGAGTAGAAAATCGTTCGGCTGTCTGTTGTGATTGCAGCTTCTCGACGTCGAACTTTCCTTGTGTTTGATGGTGTGCGTTTTTGCTGTACAGAGGTGACTGCGAATCTTGGCTGCAACAAGATAGTGGTCCGAGTCGATGTTAGGATGTTAACTTGATGTATCTTCTTTTGCTGGAATCTATGTAGTACTACAGATAACCATATTTGGCGTTAAAGTCGCCAAGGACTTTTTTGACATCGTAGCGGGGGCAGCTCTCATAAGTGCGTTCCAAGCACTCATAAAAGTCATCTTTGGTCACATCGTCCTCTCTTCCGTCAGGGCGTGGACGCAAATCAGCGATATGTTGAAGAACCTCGCTTTGATACGGGTTGTGGCTAGACGTTCATTCTCCTCCGTTCGTTCAGTCTCTCTCCCACCACGAATCCCACACCAAACTTGCGCTCCTTTATATGACCAATGTAGTAAATTCCACAAGGACCTACTCGTTTCTGTCCTTGTCCCGGCCATCGCATTTCTTGGACGGCGGTGATGTCAGCCTTTACTTTCACGAGGATATCAACCAGCTGAGCAGCGGTACTTTCCCAATTAAGGGACCGGACATTCCAGGTGCATGCCCTCAATTCGTAGTCCTTATTTCCTTTTCCATGGGGTTCATCAAATGGGGGGTCTCTCACCCGAGGCGGTTGGTAGTTTTTCATTGGTAGTGCTTTTTACGTGGCGGGTGGCACAACCCTATGCAGGGGATATTTCGCCTTCTCACTTTAGCTCGCCTTCAAACGGATGTTCTTAGGCTACTCAGAGGATTCTTGGTCAAAGACCGGAAGTCGTGGGCGAGTCATATGTAAAAGAATCGTTTCTGGCCCCTCCCAAGTGAATGGCGATCAGAGAACTTCCTCACTTGCATGAACGTCTACAAATAACTCCTACCTCCATAAAATAAAAGAATTCCTGATCTTAAACAATAAATTTAAAAAATGAATACATGTATAAAAGTATTTGAATGTAAGACCAAATGCAACGTTCAAGAAAAATGTTTACAACTTTTATGTTAATGACATTTTTTTATGATTTTTTTAAACAAAACTCGAACCTTGTTTGCTCATAATATAAGACTTGATTTGAGATATCATTCAGAAGTTTTGCATGCGTTATTTTCTTCATAAAAGATGTAAAGAATTAGCAAAATTGTTTCCGTTATGAATTAAAAAAAAAGATTTAAGGTAGAAAATTATATTTTCAAATTTGAAATGTTTAAACTAAAATTTATGGCCACAAAACTTAATTCTATGAATTTCAAGATATTTAAATTATATTTATTTATGGCTATTAAAAAAATTCATTAAATAATATATTATACAACAAACACACACTTGTATATAACTATGGTTACAACGATTACATATCAAATTTGTTTTTTTTTTTTTAGATCAGCAAATCGACAACGTTTAGTGGCGCATTCTACAGCAATGGAAAGCATTCAAGCCGAGAGCGAGCCTATAGACGATGAAGACGATGTTCCGTAAGTTTACTTTTATTTTAATATCCTGGCTATGTTATTAAATTTCTCATTTATTAGACCTGGTGGAATTCCTGCCAGAAGTGAAAAAGGCGAACGTCTCCTTCTCTACATCGGTATAATTGATATATTACAGTCTTACAGATTGAAGAAGAAACTTGAGCATACTTTCAAGAGTATTATACACGATGGGGTAAGAATTTAACATAACAAATCACACATTTAATGGGTAGTATTAAGTTTGCCTCGAAGTTTGAAAATATGAAATTTTGAACGCAGCTGCTTATTCCGCCGATATCGAACCACCTTGGCCATACAAACTTTCAATTACAGTTGCTGTAAGCCTGAAAATACTATGCCTGGACCTATATAGTAAGTCCTTGGTTCTAGTCTTATCATATTTGAGCCATATCTGCTTCGTTATCTGGGAACTATGTGAAATAAATTTTTTGTTGTTTTCGATTTTACAGCTGTTTTAGAGTTATTTAGTCATATTAAATTCAAATCCGAAGTCAGTTTTCTTCTATCATGTCAAGTTTTTTTTGCCACAGTTTATAGTAATGAGACCACTCAGTGCAGTGTGCTGCTTAGATCATAAAACGGGGTACGCTCTTCTATAGACGGAAGTTTAATTTTTTTTTTTTTTGGAATAAGTGAATATCGCTGTAGGAGAATAGCAGCAGGTTCATGCCTGTGACGACAATCGTCTAGTCGGTAGTTGGGACATGTATGAACCTGTCGTTGGTGACCTATGGCGTCATTCTCTTCTTCCCATACGAGCAAGTTCAGTTTCGTGTTAGATTATGTGGTGGGACGTTGTTTGTGCTCATACGTTACGTCCGGTTTTTTTAACAAAGATTTTGTTTACATTTATTTCTGAGAACAACTTCTCTTTCCTTTAGATCATGTCTGTCTCTGGTATTTCACGTCGATGGTGTATAAACAATGCCGATTCGTTTTGCTATATTTGTGGCAGTTTTACTATTCCAAGTCAAAGGAGAAACATTAGTCTATTTGTCAGGCAAGCCTATTTAGCGTATTTTAAAATGAAAATCGGTGATCAGAATAAAGCTTGGGCCCCTCACAAGGAGTGCAAGCAGTGTGTCGAGTGTTTCCGAATGTGGACTAAGGGAACACGTGATAAAAGCCATTTTTTGCCAAAAAATGTGATGTAATAGCATTTGTTCAAATTAAATTACAATTTGTGAACAGTATTCAGTATAATTTTTCATCTTTACTTTGTTTCGTAAGAATATTTTATATGACTATTGGGAGAAAGAGGGTATTTTGTAGCTTAAAAAGTTGATGTGCTAGACAAAAAACGAGGTTATTTTTTGATTCAGAAGCCAAAAATTACTAAAAATAAGTATTAAATCGAAGTCAACAAAAATTTGTCGGAGTATAAGCCCGCACCTACTCCTCAGATCCATTTTGGTCCCATAGGTATAGATAGAGACTAGCGTCATCCTTCTTCTTCAACCAAACTTCTTCTCCACTAACGTCTAGAAGATATCCTCTCCCGGAAGTGGGTATTAAAATCTAACCTTGTGGGAATATACCACAAGTCTTATTGTATTCTGATTTACTTATGTTTAACTGGATAAATCTCTAAATTCTTTTATTATTTTAGCAGAACATGTTGTACGTCAWTGAGCAGCTGAAGCAGAATTCTATTGAGTGCATCAGTCGGTCATGACCTTTTAACACCGGTAGCCCCCGCACAGGCTGCTCTTTGCACTCCTGTTAGTTTCATGATATTATAGTGTTACTTTAGAGCTGGTATGTCAGAATGACCGCCGTTCACATCTATGTATATAACAATATTTGGTTTAAGGTCCCAGTAACCTGCAAGTATTGTTTTGCAATGTGGATGAAGGATGTGAAGCTAAGGGCCTAAAATCTTTTGCGTTATTGTGTGTTCTTCTGCACGATTTAGTGAGAAACACCAATTTCACTCTTTTTAAGTTGTAAATGTTAATGTTTTTATATCCTTAGAACCCTAGGTTCTTTTAGCTTCTGTAACATTATGGGAATAATCGCATCCGAACCCGCTGATTTAAATGGTAAAGAGCTTTTAATACCGTGTTTGCAGGTATCTCAGATTGTATATACACTAGAACTATCTATCTATTGCCAGGTTTTGATAATTGTATTAGCAAGCAAATAATTTGCTTTTCATTTAGTTCATTTTACGAATATATTTAATAATTTAAATAACAAGGCAAGGATTACAAGAACGCGGTTGCCTTTGTTTCGAACATCAACCATCAAAATTTTACCCATGAAGGGTATTATAACTTCGGTGCAGTCGAAGTTGACGTTTTTTTCTGTTTTTCTTGATTTAAAACTTTGAGTTGGATTATTGAGTATTTTGAACAATTCTGGATTGAAGCCCTAAAAAGATGGAATATTTAATTTGTTTGATAAAACGAATCCAATACTAACGAGGAATAGCAAGTAAATTATATCAAAACCGGCTTTAGAACATATAAAGCGCTCTATAATTTATTTTACTTGCTTTTATTTTTAGGACACTGTATCAGTGTGCCGGCCATCATTTTATGCTCATAGATTCCAAACCTTTATGGCCAAAACTGTATTTCGCAAAATACCTTCGTGTAAGTTATTTTTAAAATATTCGTTGAAGAATGTACATATAAAAATAAAATTGCAAATTTTTTCTGCGATCAAAGTGGATTTACCGGAAATTAAAGGAAATCATAGAAAGTTTCGTACTTTGGTAACCAGTTACATCGGTAAGTTTCTCGAATTATTTTACTTAAAAATGTAAGCAAGGTATAGTATAAATTTATATGTTTATGCTTTTAAAAATTTGCAGCACTCAAACACTCTCCTTCAAAAAGGAAAAGTTTATCGAAAGCAATACAGCGTTCTATTGAAAATGAGAGTGAAAATCGCTGTAAGTATATATATTTATATACTATATATGTATAGTATACATATATATACGTATGTGTATTTGTCCATGACAATTAACATATACAAACTCTTTCAAATAGCGGAATGCGCCGTCGAACATCGCCCAGCGTATCCATCGCACACTTCCGGCACTAAGGCGCACACACAATCCAGTAAGCCGTCAGGTGGACTGAAGTCTTCTGGTACAGATGTACCCACATCAACTACATCACTCGCTTCCACAACTGCCGTTGTTCCAATGCTTGGTCCTCGATTATCTATTCAACATGCGGGCAGTGGTGCATCAAAGTCTAAGGTCCCTCCACCTGTGCCACCAAGAGGTTCACCTCGGCGGAAGAAAAGCGATGGTCATAACGAAGTCGCACGCGGTGTTTCCAATACAGGTAGATATTCCATCGGCAGCAACAACAAAAAGAATAGCATACAAACAGACATAGTGAACCATTCCGTCAAGAGCTCCTCACCAACAATAACAACAACATTTAAAACAATAAAAACCAAAGAAGAAAAACCACCTAAAGCAAACAATACCTTGCAAGTTATGGAGAAACCACTGCCACGATTCGGTGAGCGACGTTCACCGAGTAATGTACAAGATTGGCTGGAGTTACACGATTTGTTTGACATTGATTTGCCACCGCCTTTACCTCCTCCGCCTAAACTAAACTCATTAGCTACAACTCGCAAGGCATCGCGGCCCCTCAGTCCAGAATTAGTGAATTCACCAACGAAAAACCGTACAATATGTCGTTCAATCGCACCCAGCGATTCAATAAAATCTACATACTCCACAGCTCGATCGGAGGTACGTTCGCATAGGTCATACCGGTATAATTTACTTCATCGCGTAGACCTGCTTCAACGCCAAAACAGTATAATGTCACGATCTGGACGACCGTCGATTGGCTCGATTGTTTACAATTTTCCGCCTATTGAGCCAGATCCACCAGAAATCCCATTTCCACGTCCCACGGAAAACCCGAAAAGTCATCGTCGATCTCAACAAAATAGTAACAAGCATAGAAAAATATTTCAATACGCTGATATGGCTCTTCGTGATGAACGGTTCGAGGTTGAACAGGACGAAAACCTACTGCAGTCGGTTAATGCATTTGTAGAAGTTAGGAATGAAATAGAATCAAAGTTTAAGTCGCGTAAATCTCGACCACCTCCCGCTATTCCATCCAATATGCAGAATCAAAACGAAAAAGAAGAAACAAACAAGAAAAAAACTCGTTAAAACTGCAATGCAAGGAAGATCATTGGAGGCTCTCACACATAAATACAAACACAAATAGCTTTGCATTACTTGCTTGTTCACTCCTCCTTTCCATTCCCGATCCATGCAAATCGCCTCATTGCGTTATACCCTTTTATCGACTCCTATCTCCTAACCCGATTTAATTTCCATTGATTAATGCATTGTTTTCATGTATCGCTAGGCTCAACACCTTCTTGCAGTTCAACGCCTCCACCCGCGTTTGATGATATTTCTGAAGACAGTTCGAATAGAAATAGTTCGTCCTTTGGTAGAAAATCGCAATACTCTCACGAGCGTAAAATGAATGTCGGTCCAGCATATCGGGGCTCTCAAAAGGACGATATTGTCAGGTAATCTTAATAAAAATCATAGTTATTCTTGCACTAGTTTAATTTTGCATGCAAAATTTTTTTTATTATCACTATGATTGGATTTACATAATTACTGACGAATTACTATGAGTTATATAAACAGTTTCGGTGAAAATACATATTTAATTGAGTAATTTTTGCAAGTGAAAATGTGTCCTTTACACAAAATTCTCAAAATAAACGGTAAAACAAATAAACATAAAAATCAAACTTAACCTATCGAAAATTTGTGTAAATTAGACAAGGTAGGAAATTAGTCCATCGAAAACATAAAAAACAATGCGCGTTGTTGCGAATATATGATATTTTACCAAATATTAAACATAATTTCTTAGTTTAAAAATCTGTTTAGATTTGATTCTTTTGCCGTATACAAATGAGGTCAAATTTCATTAACAATAAAAACTAAAATATTTTAACTGTTTTTTTCTATCACGCCATGAAAAAAACTTCTCTTCTTCCCCTTACATTATTAATCTTAACATCTAATCTTTCTCAAGCAATCGTGTTTTGATAAAACATTATTCCTAACTGAAAAAATAATCTGGATGTAGAGCAATGACTTTAGAAGTGTTATGACAAATTTATGGAGGGTCGTAAATTTATGAAAAAGTACCATCGGAGATCATTGGCTTTGGAGTCAAGAGACTTTCGGGTTAGAGAAACTTTTTAACTTTAGTCGGACATCTCACAATTATTTCAGTAAATTTATTTTCAAAATATGTTTTGTTGTAAAATAGTAAATTTTTTTCATATAGTGATGTGTATTATATTGGTTATCAAAAAAGTCTTGCGGTATTTTTATTGAATTTTCAATTGTTCGTAAAATTTTTTTTAATGACTCATGCCCAGCTCTTGACCGATGCTACGGCTGCTACTATACCGGTCTCTTTTCGATTTTATCGCAATTTTCGACGACAAGCCTTCCGGAGCGTGGCACATCTTCGACCACCTCTACACCNGCAATTTTCGGCCAGAGGACTTCCGGAGCATGGCGCATCTTCGACCACCCCTACACCAGAACGAAAACGTTGAAACCATCGTTGTGCAGTGGAAATGGAAACTGTATCGGGTCCATAAAGTGCACAAATTTTATTGGCGGCTTGAGATGCATTTTTGCCTTTATCGTAGTAGTACTGTAAAATATGACGTATTTTCTCTTTATTTTGCTCCATGTTTGCGACGCTATAACTCACGAACGACTTAAAAGAAGCGACAACCAATTAAACACGTGTTAGCGCGTGAAATGAGCTTTCCAAAAAGGTATAGCATGACCCGATGCGACGAATAAAACTAGTTACGCGCTCTCAGCGCCAACTAGCGAAAATACCGCAAAACTTTTTTGACAACGTAATGTTATTTAGCACTTCATTTGTTTGGTTAATTTTAGAAAGCTCATACAAGGCGCACCTTTACATCATTTATTTTATGTACAATTTTAGCATTTCTGAAATACACTTAGACACATATTTGGCTGTAGATACTTCATCCAGTAGTCAATATGGATCTCGTGGAGGATTGGCGTGGACACCACCAGCTTCTGGAGAGGGATCAACACCGACTTGGACAGAAGGAACCCCAAGCTTTACAGATTCCAGCTCCAGTGGTGATATTGGTAAGCGACGTACACTAAGTTTTGAGTTTATATTAATTTTCAATTTCTTGACAGAGAACTTCTCCCCAATTAACACATCAAAAACTGACCGACATAAAGCAACTGTGGAAGACACACTAAACTCCCTTTCATCGGAAATGATTCGATGTTAGTTTACACATACTCATATTAATCATACTTTATATAAATTACTATACCTTTTCTATCCATTACCTTCAGATTAACTAAATAAGTAATTCTGGACTGAAGGAACTTTTACATTTGTGACAAATAATCACAAGGAGATACAATACTCGAGCGTGGGATTGTGTACAAGCAGAAATACTTATGTTGATTTGTACTTAGAGAGCTAACCAATTTTTTAAAGAACAAACGCAATGAGTATTTGAAGTCTTATTAATATTATTATTAAGGTTTACTAACCTTACACTTCAAGGATGCCAGTGATTACAAAATAAGTTCATAGCAGTACTACAGATAAACTTACACACATATATAAATATATGCTAAAATCCTAAATACAAATATATAATACAAATTGTGAACTGACGCGGATAGAGTTAAAATGTTTCAAACGCATACATATACATACACACAAATAATTAAAACACTAATACTTATTACCCGTGCTTAAATCCATGCTACATCTTGCGTAACTCCCCTAATCTTCCGCACTATTCTTTTTTTTTTATCAATTTATCTACTCTGAACTTTCCTCTTAAAAAGTAAGGAGCCGTCTCTAATGTATAGATAAATGGAAATGCAATAACATTAAATTGATTTTGTATTAGAGCAATTCGTTTGTGTGTACATGCATACATACAAATCCCAATAAATCTCCTCAATTGAGACTCCATTTCATTGAAAGAGTTAGTATGTAAACTAAGATATAAACACCATACAACATATCCGTAAGGACGGCATGAACGATCCAAATACACAAGAGTTTCGGTTATATTTGTTAATATGGCCTTAAGGAACTCATAGAGACTTTAACAGAAATTTCTGCTAGAGTTATGGGATAGTTAACTAGTAACTTAACTGATATTTGGGTTGCTGTGATGGGTAGGTATATGTACATTCACAAATGTAATACTCTTATACAAAATTGTTTAAACAAAAATGTATGTACATAAATACATCAAAATCTTCGCATATAGTTCATATATAATATATGTAAATGTATATATATATCATACAATATAGTCATAATATCTAAGAAAACAATATGCTAAATACCTACAAATCCAAATTCAGTTAAATGCTTAAAATTCTATGTATACTTGATCATACATACATATGTATATCCTGTTTAAATATTATATATATATTTAACTATTTTGGATTCTCTAAAGGTAACAAAACATACATATGAATAAAGCGTAGATTAAACTAGCAATACATACACACAAATAATGGAAAGGTTAATTAAAACATTATTATCAATAACTTAAAGTTCATTATGAAAGCATTGTACAAGTATTGTATTTCTTTTAATTGACTAATCAATGTGTATACAAAAATTGTCGAATTCATTATTGCGTTAAAATATCCTACTTAATACTTAATAAATTAGCTATTGTTACAAATATATAAGTATTTACAAAGATGTATGTACATATATGCCTAAATTATAAATATTTATTATTAAGAGTTTGAAAACGTTTAATTATCTTATTAAAGTAAATTGAATCCAAACTAAAGTTCAGCAATTAGAATTACTCTAAGTGGTAAGTTAATAACCTTAACCGTATTGGTTAACAGAGCTCATTAGTCCAATTTTTGCATTTTTGCTAATTTAACATCTAAATCGCTGAAAGTGACAACTCCAGGACTCCAGTTATATTTAATATAACATATGAATACTTAGGGTTGTCATCAATTGACTTTAAAAGTAAGCGAAGAGAAATTTCCAGGAAAAAGTGCCGTATTTATTTTATATTATAATGTCGTGTTGCCCTGATTGATTTAGATAGGTTTGGAAAAAGCGTTATTGAAATTTATGACACAATAATGTAATTCGAGAAGTTTGTTCTGTTGATACGTTTTCAAAAGCGTCTGCAGTTGATGAAAGACAGGGAAGTGGTCGTGCTTCGCGAACGCATTCACAGAAATCCTCTCAGGAAAAAAAAATTGATGTGAAGGGAAATCGGTGCCCATTATACCAACCCAGCCAACCAATTATTTTTTGACATCGCGCTTGAAGTAAATTAGGCTCAACAGACCGATTTTCAGTGACACGGGGTCAACGGTCCCGATAGCTTCTTTTGTACAGACAAAGAAATGTCACCGTTGAAGAAGTTTTTAATAAGCACCTGGGCAAAGACTTTCAAAAACTAAAAAAAAATTAAAAGTGTTAAAACTAGGACGAAAGAAACATAAAGTATTTTAGAAGGCGTAGCAACGCAGTTAAGCAATTTTATCTTCGATAAAGAGCATTGGATCTTTCAGCAAAATTGTGCTCTATCACAAAAGGCTAAAACCACCAACATGGCTTAAAAGCAAAATTGCTGATTTCATAACTGCAGTTGATTGGACGTCTGGAAGTCCATTGGAATACAGAATTGGATAACACGGGCTTTCGAATAATCCACAGAAATTTGGAGAATCTCAATAAACTTTGGTTCGAGCAGCGTCGTCTATACCAATAGACATTGTACGTCCTGCTATTGATCAATGGTCGAATCGTTTGAGTGCTTATGTGAAAGCAAAATGTGACCATTTGGAATACTATTTTGAACGTCATTCATTAATATATGAATTATGAATAAATTTAAATTTTTTAAAACATGTATTAATATTTTATTTTTTTATAACTTGTTACACAATTTATGGCAAGAGTAAGTGCTGTCTTATTACATAGTCTTCTCTGGTATTTAATGAATTATGACTCAACCGAAATATTTAAGAAAAAATTATGGAAAGCAGTTTCTTTCATTTCTACTACTTTATTCTATATTGTATCCACTGCAATTAAATTTTTATAGTTTGCACATTGCGAACCATGAAATTGCATTCGAGACACTGGTATCATATATTCTTACTAATGTAGGCACAGCTGTGGTATATCCAACATATCTATCGCATGCATTGAGTAACCGACGTGCCGCTGATCAACAGATGGTTCGTAATTAAAGATCTTTCGATTGCTTCTTGCGTTTATTTTTACCCAAATTGTTGCCTAATAGCGATTTTAATCAATTGTCAAACGGTTGCCATAATGTGTGGCTGTGGATTTCGAAAAGTGGGGAACTGAGAATCTTGAAGTCAAGGAGCCGGGAAATTCCTACAGGTAATTGTTTACTTTTAAACAAATGCTATAAATTACTATAATGCTATAATAAATATAATAAAAGTCAAATTTCCCCTGGTGGATTTCTTTTGGAATATTTATATAAAAAGTAAACCAAAAAGTAGACTAAAAAGTCGCATTTAGAAAAGAAAATTTAAGTTTTTTGTGCCTTTGCCTCATTCGTACTCTATCATTTGGTTATCTGTTGAAAATAAAATGTTTTTTATTGAAATATCAACATAGTTTAGCTTACTTTTAACTATTGTTATTTATTTTTTTTTTTTCTTGTTACTCCAATTTTAAAATTAATAAATATTTTCCCGATTTTTAGCCAAATCTTAGCTCGTCACGTTCATCATTTATACACACTACATACATATACTTTAGAGGGTGTAAAAAAACATCGTGGCATATTTATTTTACCCTTTTGAGGGTATAAAAAGCTGCAGATTAGCTGAATACTAAATGATCCTGAGATATATGAGGAGACAGAAAATTGATTGACACTCCAATTTATCCAAATTAAATGTAGCGTGCACAGTTAATATTATGAACTTAGTTTCAGCGAGTTAATACATATATAAAACTGCCTAAATTTAAGTTAATGAATTTAAAAAATATGACAGCTCTTATATATAAAATGTTTAGCCAGGCTTATCAGCTTAAGTCTTTATTTACCATTTTTTGTTAAAAGTTTTACCAAATATTTTTAATTTTAATATAATGCATCTAATGCGAATCATTCATTATAGCTTTTATATCTTCCGCGTCAAGAGTTTCGTACTTTAGTAACGCCTCGGCTAATGCCTTATGTTCTTTCGTATGTTTCCTTAATATTGCCTTAGCGCGCTCGTAACTTTCATTTAAAATGCGCTTTATCTCGGCATCAACTATTTCTACTGTATTTGGGCCTAATGATTCCGCTGCAACAAGTCCTTTTGCATTGTCAAATGTGCGAAGCCCCACCTTCTCCGACATACCCCAGTCTTTGACCATATGCGTTGCGATGGAAGTAGCTTGCTTTAAGTCACTGCTTGCCCCGGATGTAATTTTTTCAACACCAAAAACTAACTCTTCCGCTGCTCTTCCCCCCATCATTGTATCCATCATGGCTAGAAGTTGAGCTTTAGTCACATGGTAACGCTCCTTTTCGGGAATGTATGCGGTGTGACCAAGTGAAGGACCTCTTGGCATTATTGTAACCTTATGCAATGGATGTGATTCCTATTAAATAAATAAAGTGTTAATCAGTATTTCGAAAATCGACACGAACTCAATCACCTTAGTATAATAAGCAACAATAGCGTGACCACCTTCGTGGTACGCTGTGATAAGGTTTGCCTCTTCATCAGGTAACCGGGCCTTTCTTTCGGGACCCATTAAAACTTTGTCCCGTGCACTTTCCAAATGTTTCATTGTTACGGTTTCAGCCCCATCTATAGCGGCTCTTTTAGATAACAATTATATATTTTCTGGTCTTAAAAACAAAATATTTAATATTTTACCTTAAAGCTGCTTGGTTTATCATATTCTCCAAATCTGCACCTGTAAAACCAGATGTGCCTCGAGCCAACATATCCAAATTAATTTCGTCATGAAGAATTTTTGCTAAATAAAGTGAAAGAATTTCCTTTCGACCAGTAAAGTCTGGGGTGGATACCACAACCTAAAATGAAGATGCCGTATTTAAGAATTTTACAAATCGGCTATATCACTTAAGGATATACAACATTACTTCAACATCAAATCGTCCTGGCCGCAATAAGGCTTGGTCAAGATCATCCCGCCTATTTGTCGCGCCTAATACGATTACACCTGCATTTTGGTGGAAACCATCCATTTCTGCCAACAATTGATTAATGGTTTGGTTCGCATATGGATGTAAAACTGAATTCGTTCGTTTTGCTCCAACTGAATCGATTTCATCGATAAAAATCACACAAGGGGCACGCTGCTTTGCCGCTTCTAAAATGTTTGTAAACAATTTGCTGATATATATATACATATAAAATATATATATTTAAATATAAAAACTATACGTACTAAATAGATCGCGTACACGTCTTGCTCCCTGGCCAACGAGTACTTCATCAAATTCAGGACCAGCAGCATGGAAGAATGGAACGTTTGCCTCGCCAGCCACCGCACGTGCAAGTAGCGTTTTGCCAGTACCAGGAGGTCCAACTAATAGCACACCTTTTGGCAATTTACCCCCCAAATTGGAAAACTTTTCAGGACTTTTAAGAAATTCCACTACCTCTTTTAACTCTTGTTTAGCCTCATCACATCCCTTAACATCATCAAATGTCACATGAATTTCTTCTGGATCTACTTCTACTTGGTTGCCCAGTTGTATTCTACTTTCATATTAACATGAGAGATACGTAAGTCAGATTAATTGATGAGAGCATTAAGTTAGCATTACAAAAACGTATATAAATTAAAAGAAAACTTGTGTATTGCATACCTAAACATAGAACCATTTGAGGACGAAAACAAACTTAGAAATATTCCAATGAAGACAACTATTACTAATAGTTGTTGGAAAACCTTTGAAAACAAATTTTAAATATAAAAATACAATTTTTACATGAACCAATCCTGAAGCACTTACTTTAAGGTATTTCATAGTTTTCCCCGATTTAGGTGACTCATCGGAATTTGTAGCAGCCAAATATCCTTCGGCAAAGGCTATTTTAATATTATCCACCTGCAAAAATTTTTAAATTAAATAATAAAAACGCAAAAACCAAATTTCATACTTCATTTTTCTTTGGTCCTTGTTCACTACTTTTTTGAAGCAATTTTTTTAATGTTTCCGCTTGTACTTGAGACATTTCCGTATCAATTTTTTGTGAGCTTCCGCCGAAAGCCGTCTTTAATCTAGAAAATATTGTAGGATTCCTTTTCATCTCCGCATCAATAGAGCGATCCGTTTTGAAATGTCGAGCAAAACCTCTAAAAATGACACGGTTTTAACGTTTTTCCCCTCTTAATATGCAATAATTTCTACATACATTTGTTGGCCAAATAATGGGACAAGTAACTTTGGATTCATCTGTCCAGATGCACTAAAAGTGATATCAATCAAGTGTTTGGCACGCTTTCGCATGGGTAAGCCGATATCCACACTTACACAAATACTATTTGAGGTAATAGTAGTTTTCGTTCTGGATAGTACATCGTTTATCCGTTGTGGGTTGAAGAATGAACGAGAGCAGGCGTTGTGTTCCATTATTCGTCTAATATTACGAGGAGACTTGTTTACAAGTTGTGACAAGTCTCTCATCAAATCAAATTGGTAAGGTCTATAACAATAAATGGTGGTTGTTATTGTAAAAAGATTTAATTTTTTTTTTTTTGGGGAAGTGTTAATATAAACGCTTATAATGAAATTTAATTCGCAACATTGAGATCTCGTAGAGAACTGTTATTTTACAGACATGCTTTTTTTTATCTTATGTGAATGATGAATGATGAGCTTGTTTATCATATTTCTAAATATTATGCATGTTCTACATCCTTTTCGTTTGCGTAAACTATATAGTAACTATATAAAAAATATGCATGTAGTTTTCAACGATCCGGGAAATTTATTGGCTTGGTTACCTTGTTTCCGCTGTTCTCCTTTCACCAGCTGTTCTTGTCCTTGCAATATAGCGATTATGTGTGGGCTTTCGCCCCAGGCTTCCCAAATGTGAATATGCACAAAACATTATTAATTTCCTTTAAATATAATATTTTCTTCTACCAAAAGGCAAACGGAACAAGGCAGGTTTTACGCGATGACAACCAAAATGTCATAATCAAAATTGACCACACTGATTCGCGGGCTGATGGCTGCAAACATCCCTGTCTTAATCAAAAAGGTGGTGTTAAACGCGTTCTAATTTATTACGAGTTGTAAGTATTTGATTTATGTCTCAATTTGTTGATGCTTGATAAGCAACAACGGACTAAAATTTGGAATAATCTTGCATTTGTTTCTTTTAGAAATTAAAAACATTTCTCGACAGTAATGACACACTAAATGTCAAATTTTTTGGGGGTATAAACGTAAAATATTCATATAATAAATAAATTTAGGAGAATATTTTTTAACAAACAGCGCTTGGTCTTTTAACATTTCATCAAAACTTTTAAAGGCCTGCATATAAATATGTAGGTATATAAATATGTACATATATCTTATCAAACCTACATTAATTAAATAATTAGGTTATAATACAAATATGATTTTATTATATATTTCCAAAGATTTAAGGAATTCATCATGAAATAGTTTAATTTGTACGTATGTACATATGTATGTACATGCTTTTGTGTTTTGATATAAAATATAACATATGTATGTATGTATGTACATATATAAATTATATGCAGAGKCGTTTGCGCATTGTAAATATGCGAATCTGTAAGCGTACATTCCGTAGCATCGGAAATAGCATAAGTTTTCTCATTTCACACTGAAAATGCTCAATTCTGCTATTTTCGTGTCCCCTGATGTTAAGTGRTGAAACGCGCTAATAATTTTCTGTGGTGAAACGCACTCATCCAAAACAGTTAAAATCCCAAAATTGAAGTATCCCTAAATTTTTGACATCGTGAACCTTCTCTATAAACAGAGAACGTCCATCATAGAGAAGGCAGAGAACGTCTATCATAGAGAAGGGTCACGTTTCAAATATCGTAACTTTTCGAAGGGGTACTCGGCAGAGATCGTCCAGTTTCACCACAGACAAATTATAAGCGTGTTTCACCACGAAAATAGCAGAATTGAGCATTTTCAGTGTTAAATGAGAAAAATAATGCTAATTCCAATGTTAACAAATTTACGCCTAGAGATTCGTTTATTTTCTATGCGCAACTGACTCGGCACATAATTTATGTACATCCGTAAATATTTGGTATCAAAGCATATACTTAGTATATATGTGCATAAGTRTGYATGTATGTTTATTAAAATTTATGTACATATGTATTTCATTATGATTCCATAAAATCATTAAAAATATAAAAGATAAAGTTTGTATTATTATCCAAATAATTATTATAAGTTAAGGTAATTAGTTTTAAACTTATAT